CTGATGGAGCATAAATCTATCCTATCCTATCTATCTATCTATCTATCTATCTATCTATCTATCTCTATCTATCTATCTTCTATCTTCTATCTAATCTATCTATCTATCTATCTATCTTTCTATCTATCTATTTTCTATCTATCATCTATCTATGTATCCTCTATCTCATCTATCTTATCTATCTATCTATCTATCTATCATCTATCTATCTGCCTATCATCTATCTATCATCTATCTATCTATCTATCTATCTATCTATCTATCTATCTATCTATATATCATCTATCAATGCCACCTGGCTACTTCACAGAAGGCAGGGTAGCAGGGCAATCAACTGTCAAATTCTTCACAGTAACCTCCTCAGTGTCCAGCACAAAGCATTCAAGGAACACCAAGTAAATTGATGTAATGAAAACAAGAAGGCCAGTTTTGTTTTATTGTTCTGTGGCTGCTGTCTTTGTTTTTCCTGGCCACACATTTGTATTCCATTCCTTACTCTGTTCTCTTTAGTGCTTGGGGCAGAGGGAATAGGGAAGGAGAGAGAATTCCCCAGGCAAAGACTGGCAGATGGAGCAGAGGGACCCCTGGGACACTAGTAGCAAGACAAACTGAATAGCAGAATCTAAGGATGTTATTTTTAAAAGGAACTCATAATAGCTTTGTCAGCAGAATGTTGGACAAGAAACCACGCATTGTCTTTCTCAGCCTTTCTCTCTCTCTCTCTCTCTCTCTCTCTCTCTCTCTCTCTCTCATTTATTTGTTTAGTTAGTTAGTTAGTTAGTTAGTTAGTTAGTTAATTAGTTGTTAGGTAGTTAGGTAGTTAGTGTGTGTAATGTGTGTGTGCTAGGATGCATGCATGGAGGTTAGAAGACAAATTGTAAGAGTTGGTTTTCTCTTTCCATGTGGAGATGGACCTGAGGTTGCCAGGCTTGGTGGCAAGTGCCTCTACTGCTGAGCCACCTCTCTGTCCCTCCTTCTTTTACATGCTAACTCTTCTCTATCTTTTGACTCGATCTCTGCCTATCTCTCTACCATCCATCTGACTTCTATCTAACTTTGCATTGGTTTTCTTTCTCACTTATGTCTGTCCATACCTCTGTCCATTCTCAAGTTTTGATTCTAATCAGATTTGTTATGGTCTTAAATCTAATCAGAAAGAAGTAAACCTTTATAAGAATTTACCTCTATTTCCATTTTCTGCTACTGTGAGAGGTCTTTTGCTGAGGAAATGAATAAGTCATCTTAGAAGGCAAATGTTATAATATCTCATTATAATTTCTCCCTCTTTGTCTTCATATTGGAAGAAAAGAAATGTACCAAAATCAGTCAACCTCATGATCTTATCCTTAAGGGGTAAGGTTTTTTTTTTTTTTATCATTCTATTAATATTATTTATAAGCAAGATCTCTCTGCTAGGAATAAAAAGCCAGGCTCTAGGGCTGGAGAGATGGCTCAGCAGTTAAGAGCACTGGCTGCTCTTGCAGAGGACCCGGATTCCATTCCCAGCACTCACATGGCAGCTAACGACCATCCACAACTCAGTTCCAGGAGAATCCAGTGCAATACACAACATGGGTGCACTTGTATACATTCAGGCAATACACTCGGCTGTATATATCTCTATTGATATAAGTGGGCATTCTAACTCTCTACAGTCCAGTTCCTTGGGTTCTAAAGTCTGGATGTATAGCTGATTGCTCTTGAGATGCACCTAAGTTTTGTAAGTGTGTGAATTGTCCATAGTCACTGAGAGGCTGTGAGAAGTGCTGAGATTGTCTTGTGGTAGAAGTACCTGGCAGGCTACTGGTCACTGAATTTCTCAGCTGGTTCCCATGTGTCCTTCACTAATTGAACTATAATGAATTGTCTTATTTTGGCCTTTTCCATAGTATTTCACCATGTAATCTCTTTATAGAAATAAACAAGCTTGGAAGAGGCTCAACATTCTGCTACCCCTGAATTCAATGACCCTTTTATCAACATAGAAATTCAGGTCCAATTGATTTATCCTTGACCCTTCTTTCTAGAAGGGAAACTGAAAATATTTCAAGTGAATACTAATTTAACAAGCTAATTTAAATTCAGTCACTTAGAAACAAATTGATCCGTTAGAAGAAAGCATTTTTCCTGTCACGATTATTTTAGAATGTACAATGTACATTGTGTTCATTTCCTGTGGAGGCCTTGTCCTGGCTGGGGCAATTAGGTCCACATTACAGGTGTGGAGCCAGAGATTAAGAAACAAAACAGTTTTGAAAATTTGCATAGGCAATATGAGGGGCAGAAATCAAACTCAGGTCTTTGGCCTTAAGCTCAGTGCCTTCTTCAGAGTTTTACTTTATTATTTTGAAGTAAGTATTAGACAGATGATCTGGCAGTAACCTAATGGCTATCAAACACAATGATTTGACTGGAAATTCAAATTTAGATTTCCATGTGCCTGTTGCTTAGACATATTTTCTAATGGCACACTCCTCACTTTCAAAGTGTTCTAGTTTTGATAATAAATTATACAGTGGCCTTTAGACACGAGGCAGAGACAACCTTTCAAGGAATCTAGACCCTATCAGAGGAGCTTTAGAATGCAGCACAGTGTGATGGGTGTTGTTAGACTTAACATCTTTTTTAAAATTATTTATTTAATAACCACATGATTAGAAGAAGCATTTCATTACAGCATTGACGTATTGAATAACAATTTCTGGAGCAAAGATGCATCTCTTTCAATATTGCCTATAAATTTTTAGTGGTTCATTTGTATGATGGAGTTTTACTCAGCAGTAAAGAAAGATGAAATCATGAAATTTGCAGGTAGATAGATAGAACTAGAAACTGTTATACAAAGTGAAGAAACACAGCCCCAAAAAAAAAAAAAAATCCCAAACTCTCCCCCCCAAAAAACATGTTATGTTCTCCCTCATATATGGATCCTAACACCAAATCCTTATAAGTGAGTATGTATCCAGACATAACCAAAGGAACCCAGGATAATGAAAAGGAACCAGGGGGGTAAAGGAAAAGAAAGAATCTGAAATAGAATAACAGTAGGAAACAGGCATTAATAAGGGAGATATAAATGGGATTATTTTAAGGGGAGGAGGGAGGGAGAGTTATACAAGGAATCTTGAGGATAAAGGGAAAGAAGGAACTCAAGAGAGTTGGGACTATTGGAGAATGGTATTATTAAGAGAGAAATGGGGAAAATTGGGGCACTTTAAATGGGGAAACCACGGTGGAAGGGTTAGACAATGTGAGAGATAAATAATGCCTAGCTAGTTTTAAAAAACCAAAAGGAACCATATTAATGGACCAACCTACTGACAAATTAAAAGTACCAGACTGGTGGAACTAACCTTCTTGGAGTCTAACAGCCATACTTTGAGGCCTATACTAATTTGATCAGAGGGACATAAAGGACAGTTTTTACTCCTTGCCCTCCTAGGTCAACTAAGCTCCAGGGTACTATGAGCATCTCTCAAAATGTCCTGTAACTGTGGTGAGTCACCTGGCCTCTTGATAAAGGAGGCCATGGAAACTCCACCAAATGGACTTGAACCAGTGTCCAGTCTGCAAAGAGGAGGGTCAACACAGAGGAAACATACATTTCCTCCATGCTTCCAAGTGAAGCCAGCCACATTCAAGCAGGACATTTGACTTATCTTCACATAGAACTGGTTGAAGAAAGGAGACAGGGGCTCCTCCCAAGCCCATGTGACCCCTGAGGTAAAGTGAAGATCTTAAACAGATAGGCATCTATTCAGAGGAGGCATCTAGCTTTGCCTAGAAGCAATGGAGGTGTGGTACAGAGGAGCTGATGCAAGCCATTGAAAGGTGGCAGGGTGATCTGTAGGCATAGCCACCTAGGTTTCTCCTTAATTGTTCTACACTGAACACTAGGAAACATGCTCTTGCATAAGTCACACCTCAGATAACATCCTGCTACTAGCTCAGTGATCCTCTGATACTTAGAGACAAGTGAGCATCATTGCAAACAACCACAGATTTTAACTTTGCAAATAGAAAAGAGGCTTCTGTGGTTTGAATTAGGCAGGAGTTTGCAAATTCACTTGTTCTTTCATTGAGACTCTTAAGCCCTTAGAAGCATTAGGTTGTGCTGTTGGAGTCCTATTATTCCAACAGCCTTCTTGGCTTTCAAGGCTAAGATAAGAGAAGAAAAGAGACTTATTTAATGTAGCACAGCACTTTAGTGAAAGGGCTGAAACTGAAGCTGGTTCATTCTTTTTGCAAAACTGAAATCCTCTTTGGAGTTAAATAAACCCAGGTTGCAAATAGAAATTTCTGTGGTATTGGGAAATGTACCAGAACTTGGAAAGTGAAAACCTTAATTGGGTTCCTAAATCTGGCACTAACCTACTGTGCAACCTGGGTATATTATTAAAGGTATATGAGATCTCATTTTCCTTATGTGGAAGATCAAAATTATACTTAAAATAGGGACATCTTCTTCACAATGTGTTTGTGAGGCTCACTAGGGATGAATGAAGATGGAAGTGTTTGCGAATTTTGTCGAAGATTGGAGGCATACGAATGAGATCTTCCCTCTTAACATATACTAACTGTACAGTCAAATATTATTAACAGTAAGTACAATACTGTACAGGAAATTTCTAGAGTGTTTTCCTCTCATATAATTAAAACACCATGCCCATTGAACACAACTCCCATTCCCTCCCCTCCAGATCCCTATTTTGCTTTCTATCTCTGAGTTTCACCATTTTTATAAGTGGAATCAGGCAGTTTTGTGCTCCCGTGACTGGCCCATTTACTTAGGATAACGCTCTCCAGTTTCATCTAAGCTGTTACATATGGCAGGATTTCCTTTTTTCCCTAAAGGCTGAAGACTATTCCATTGTGACTAATGACCATGGACTCAACAAAGCATATGGTTTTGGTGGTCTAATCCATGGCTGCTGCTGAGAGCTGAGGCAAAGGAACAAATATTTACTTATTGTCCCCCTTTCTATATCCATCTCCCACAGACGAACCCAGCCGGTGCTATTTCCATGATGGGGATGGGATGTGTGAAGAGTTTGAACAAAAAACTAGCATTAAAGACTGTGGTGTCTACACGCCCCAGGGTTTCCTGGATCAATGGGCGTCCAATGCTTCAGTATCCCATCAAGACCAGCGGTGCCCAGGTTGGGTTGTCATTGGACAGCCAGCAGCATCCCAGGTAAGCTTGTAGTCATGTGGGACACCTTCTGCAGGCTCTCAGAGTCACTGCCGTGCCTCTCAAGGTGCCCACCTCAAACACGATGTCATCGGACATCACCATCTGAGTTTATCTTTAGCCACGTGTGATGTCAGCCCCTTCTCAGTGCTATAGGTAAAGGACTAGGCATTCAGTGGCCAAGGGGAGGGAACACAACCATAATAAGAGTAATGGCTGTCCTCTATGTCATTACCTGTTATGATTCACATGTGGGAAAGAATTTCATCCTGCGTATACCATTGGAATTCAATGGGGTAAAACAAATTTATTTGGGAAGACTTAGTTTTTTTGTCAGGCAGTATCAAGTTATATGCTTATTGAATTAATAGCATCTCTGCCGTGATTTTCTGTGTAGACTTGGACTAGTCTCCTCATCTTTCTGGGCTCCAGTTTTTCTTTCCGCATGTTTAAAAGAACAGCTTAGCTTGATGCATATCAGAGATCTTGCTACTGCTAAGATGACGTGACTTATTCCATGGTCTCCTAATGCACTATTTATGTACCATAGTTATCTCTCAGGGGAATGACAGCCTATTTGAGGGAGCAAGCATTTTGGGGCCACCAGAGCTTGTGTGATCCTAGGGATGGCTATGCTCTCCCCAGAGCCCCCTTTGCAATTATCCTACTGAGAAAGCACCTGCCTTCTTCTGAGACTCCCATTTCCCAGAGACACGACTCAGTGCTTCTGACTGCCCAGCACAACGGCCTTTTCTGAGCCCAGTGTGCCTCCTGGCCTTACAGATGAGCCGTGATTCCCAGTCATTCCTCTCTGATATTACTTCCTTACTTCAGGCTCAGTGGGGTACACCGAGGTTTAAGATAACATAAAATAGGACCTTGGGCTGGGTGGGGTCCAGTGAGAATTATTGGATAAGGTAAAAGGTAGGAATATACAACCGCCTCATATATCCATTGTCACCTCTGTTTGATCATGCCTTCATCTCCTTTGCTCATGTTTACATTATTAGATTCTTGAATTTCTCATTTGCTTTCATCACTGGATGACCTAAGCTGAGTGGAAAGAACTGGATTCCTGGGGTTTCCTGGTGCTGTTCATGTACTGTGCCAGCCTAGGAAAGAGTGGGCACATGTTCATTTTCTTTATGTGCTGCCTCTAGGCTGGGTGAATTCACCTATGTGTTTGCACCTTCACACGGAACTCTATTTGTATACCCACTTAGCTCCCCCATCGGGCCATCAATTCTTTAACAGTAGACTGGGGTTCCGTTCTTCTTTCCCCCTCCTCAAGAACAGCATTTAGGTAAGATTAGGTGCCCAGAATGTCTGCTTTTGCTTTGTAAGTAAATGCGTGCACATGCGTGCGCACACACGTACACACACACACACACACACACACACACACACACACACTGAGGGAAAATGTTCTGTCAGCCATTGTTTCTCCCTCACATCGAATGTACAGGAATTCCAAATTCCACACCAGCATTCAGTTCCTGGAGATGTTTGAAAAACGTTACTCAAAAGGGGGAATTATTAACACACTGAGAACCCCATATGTGCCGGAGTTTAGGGAACAGCTGTGCTTAAAACTCACCAAAAGTTAGTGCTGCTAATATGAGTGAAGGACAGAAGGAATTTCCCAGTCTTGTCATTTGAAAAGAGACTTTATGGGACAGTTATTCCAGTCTTCTAGGGAGAAGGGCTGTCAGGAGTTATGGTTGGTTATCTCTTCCTAAACAAAAATCCAATCTTAAAAAAATCATTATAAATACTAGCTCTTCGATTTACTAAGAGGAAAGGAGGAAACAAAATCGTCCTATTGAATTATTCATTGTAACCAATTTTATTATAATGAAATCGGCTAGGTTCCATTACTCTGTGCTTGGACATAATCTTTGTTACAAGGAGACTTGAGCTGTAACTAAATTTGCCATAATGAGATAAGCTCACTGGCCTCTGCAGGGTCAGGGGAGAGAATCTGTGTGCAGACTCGGTGCAAAGTCAGGAAGAGAACATTCTGGAAGGTGCAGAACAGTCTCCAGCTTCCTCATCTGAAAGCAAATGCCTTAGAAGTCACCCCTCATCCCACCCCCCAGCACTCACATGCACAAGCACTCATGCACACACACACACACACACATATGCAAAGCCATGTGCACACAAACATATATGTACTCACACAGCACAGGCTGCTTCATTCAAGGTAAATGTATTCTCGAAGTTCAAGACCAGCTCCCGTATGATGACAGAGAAACAGGAAGAAGTGTAACTGTGTTCCTCATTCCCCTGTTTAGTAACTAGAGAAGACTAGTAGTTAATTTTCTCCCTGTCAGGGCCTCCAGTGAAGATGTTGGTGGCATGAGAAAATGAGCTGGGAGACTCTTGAAAGCTGTATTTAAGAATCAGATAGAAAACTGCACCCTGGGTCCCTCACCTTCCTCCAACATGATCATCCCTTCCCCTCTCGGCCTCCCTCTACCTTTCCCTTTCCCCCTCCCTCTCTCCCTTTCTCCCCCTCTCTTCCTTTTCTTTTCCATCTCCCTCTCTTTATTCTTTCCCCTTCTTCCCCGCCCCTTCATTCATACATGAATAAGCCTGTAAGTGCTCAATCCAGAGACTGACCAAACTAAATATAGGAAAATACCTGGGAAGGAGCTAGTACTTTCTGACTTCCACCACCCACCATGCTAAACATTCACATACTTATAGCCAACTACCTCGCCATTGTTCAAGGTTAACATTGTTGTCTACCTTAGACAACTGGGGAAGAGCAGTGGTCTCCCCAGGCAGCTAAAAGACCTATAAGTGAAGAATTTAGCATCATTAGAAGGATTTCTTAGAAAGCCACAGTGGGAGGGGGTCTGGGAATATGAGACCACAATGAAAGTTAGAAGTACTAGGTTCCAGAAAAACAAGCAGGGTCCTAGATGGCATGTCAAGGACTCATTCCTCCTGAGTATCACATAGTTCCATTGGAACCCAGGCTGTTCTCATTCCCTGTCATAGGGACCCTTTTTTGCAGTCCTTGGTCTTTACTAGAGCAGTCTTGACCCGGGGAATGATGAAACCACTCCAGGCACTCCTATTTCCTCTTTATAATTCAATTTATCCCATCTCTGTGAGCCTTTCTATGATGTTGTAAAAACAATAAATTCAAGTGTTTGTTGGCGGTATGTACCTATTTTGTGCTGTAGCCCGTAAGGAAACCCACAGAAGTGTAAGACCACTGACCCCATGACTATGCAAGACATACGTATGAGAACTCCATCCAGAGCACAGTCTCATCAGAACAAGGCTGTTGTAACTAGTGGATGAACAACCCTTCTAAGCTCATATCTCTGTGTGATATGAGCTTAGAATACCAACCTAAACTTGAGTTTGAGTTTGCATACGCCTGCCACTTCTAATGATTTCCAGTCTCTCTGGTCCATTTTCTCCAAACAAGTTTCCCAAATTTGGTTACAGTAAAGCTACCCTCAATTCTGAGTCTTGTATTCAAATGTTATCAGAAATATCATAACTTCCTGATTGTGCAAATTGGGCTGGATATCCTATAATAAGAGACATTCTTTGAATATTTGGGCCATGCACCTTCCTGGCCCAGCTGGAATCAAGAAGTTCCTGTGACCAAACAGAAATGTAAATGAATCAAGAGGATCAAGTTATCTCTCTTCTGTGAACCTCAGAAATGGTTTGGCTTGGTTTAATGTAAGTGCTTGCAGAGATCTTGTCTTGTTCATAGTTTGTCTCCATGCTTCACATTTCTCTTAACGTTTTACACCAAGCCTGCCAACACACAGTTCCTTGCTTCTGCTCTCACCCCCAGGGTTTCTACTCAAGTCTATTTCTTCCTGACTCAACAGGCAGCCCCTCTTTGCCAGGGCCTAAAGAGGAAATAACAATGCTAAAAGACGATCTAGAATTTACTGGGGGCGGTGAATACAGACCTCCAGTCAACCAAACAGTCTATTTGGTTATACTCTTGAGGACAAAACTTAGACTAAGCAGTTCTAGGGCAGTAGTTTGAGGATCAAAGTAAAAGAAACCATTTTTAAGAATGGGATTTATCAAAGATGGAAGGGAGCCATGTGATAGAATAAACTTCTCATATTATGAGGCTTCCACACTTCTTCAGGCTACACTGTTGATTTTATGAAGATTCCTGTATTAGAAAGCAGGTGGGTCCTAGTCACCTCTTTTTTCTTTACAATTGGCTTTGACTTTACATTAACCCTTTTGGGAGGTTGTATTAGTCTGTTCTACCTTCTTTTTATATTGTTGTGATGTATCACTCTGACTAAGAGCAACTTGGGGAAGAAAGGGTTTATGTCATCTTGTCAAGTGACAGTCCATCACAGATGGAAGTCAAGGCAAGGCAAGAACCCAGAGGCAGGACCTGAAGCAGAGGCCGTGAAGAATGTTTGCTCAGTGGTTTTCTTTATACAACCCAGGCCCACCTGCTCAAGGATGACACTGCCCACAGTGGCCTGGGCCCTTCTGCATCAGTTATCAATTAAGAAAACGCTTCATAGACATGGCCACAGGTCAGTCCCATAGAGGAAATTCCTTACCTGAGATTCCTCTTCCCAGGTGTCTCTAGTTTGTGTCAAGTTGACAAAAACTAGTCAGTACACGCTCCTTGCCAGTTCACCCTGAGTTGTGATCATCTTTGATATGTTCCTAATACTTTGTCTGTTAAAATGCAAATCATGATGTGTCTTATGCTATAATAGTGCATGTATTAATTCCCTTCTCCTTTTGATTGAAGGGAAGGACCCTTGCATCTTGCACTGATGAATGTGAAAGGGAGACCATGGACTGTAATGAGGAAAGGGGAAGCTCGCGTTATAATATTTCACATTTAACCATAGCACATGTTGGTCTGACTTTGTCCTCTTAACTTCTATTCGTAGAAACACTGAGCAAGATACTTCTCTGTGAAGCTCAGTATCCACCTATGGAAAATGAAAATGATAACCACACAGTAGAGATTAAGTTGG